TTTATACGCTTCTTTATCTGGGCGATAACATTTCAACCACCCCACGTATATATCAGATTTTTATTATCTCTGATGTCATCATTTTTCCAATATTTTAAATTTATCTCTTGCTTTTTCGAAAGCAAAAGATAGATTTAACTATATTTGTATATATGTAACTATGTTTTTTTATTGAAAATAATCATAGGTAAAAAGTCGCCAAAAATGAATTCGCTCATTTTTATTTTTTCTTCAACATGGGTTGACATTTGGTCAATAATAGAATATTATATATGCATCAAATAAAACAAATACAGAACAATAATAATAATAATGAACATCAGATTATTCACCAAACAATATGAACTAATGCTGTATCATGGCAATCTCTAATAGAGAGACAAAGAGAAATGACATTAGGGAAAAATGATAAAACGATAATAAGAAGAAGAATGCAGACATTATTCAGGGTATGGCTCTCATGGTCTCTGATCTTAACTGTAAATATTTTGTTTTGGTGAGTTAAAATGGACTATAGTAAATATCTTGTTCAATGCCACAAATTTGCTTGTCAGTTGCCTGGCCTTAACCGAATAGGCATGTCCTCTAGAGGCTGACACAATATCCCTCGCTAATGAGTGGGAGTAATAGGTTGAATATCATAGCTTGGAGTCGAATGGGTTGGGTTTTTTTTTTTTTCGTTTGAATGTTAGGGCAGTTAAGGGAGTTGCTTCTAGATACTTAGAATCACGCTCAATCTAAGGAGGCTATGTTACCCGACCTGAAAATATTTACAACTGGGCCACACCTGCTAGGTTATGCGCCGCTTTTATCGAAAAACCTCTCACCATATCGCATACATTTGGCTGTGATGCATGTGCCTGGTATACAATTATGTGGCTATGTGTCATGATGGATACATTGGGTTTCGTATAACTGTAACCCAGTGTCACTTTGTTGGGGTGCTGTTCTCTCACAGAATAAATTAGATTGGATCAAGTCGATGCTTCAAGCATACTTTTCCCGAAAGCAACACCCAACAGAACAATTTAATCTTGTGAATTACGGATGTCTTTTTTCGATTCTCCAATAGAGAATAAAACGCAGAAGAAAAAAAATACCTGTTTTATCCAGACGTCGAAAATTAGTGGCTACCGCACGAAATCGAATTTGCCTTCGGACCGCGTCTTTTCATAGATTGGGTTTTTGGTGTAATGAAAATCCCGAGTTCGAATTCCTGGCAGGTTCATTATATTCACTTACGTGCTAATGTCCTTAGGGAATATCGATTGCGGGGCTTCCTTCTTTCTCTCTCTCGTTTCGTTGCTAGTCGTTAAATATATAAGGATGATAAACTCTATCTCACCCCGCCCATCTATGGGTTGAATAGCAGGGCAAACTGCGTCCTACAGCCTCGGGTGGCAACCAGTCTACCGCAGAAAGAAACGATAACCTACTGCGGGAAAATGTTCTGCCTAGTAAATCATGAATCAGAAAAGACATGATGGCCCAAGCGTGTATCACGTATGGCACTTAACTGACAAGATCGGAATACGCCCTGAGGTCTGACGCAATGGCTAAGAAAATTGGGGTTATTTGGGGGGATAGGGCTTTGAATTGTGGTGTGTATGCATTTTCTACACCTGCCAGATTGAGTGCTAGATAAAGAAGCAACATGGTGAGGAGAACTGTGAAAGTTTTACTCATTTTTACGCAAGTTCGAATCTCGCATAAAGCTGCTTCATTATACCTATTTCACGCTAATGGATTTCCCGGGTATTTCGTCTGGAGCGTTGTGATAAGTAACAATAAGACGAAGAAAACTAAAAAAAAGTAATAGTGATTGTAGAGCGATGTAATGAATATGCATACACCTGGGTTCCCCCTCACAGTAATATGATTGGCCGGTGTCAGACATAAATACAGAGTGATGTGGAGGTACAAGGGCGACGCCTATTGCCTACGCCTATTGCCTACCACTACGACGAGGACCAGTCCATTACGGTTACCTGCTGATTGTCCTACCCGGTTACAGTAGTCCAAAAACGACTTTGCTACTTCGAAAAAATATATCCCCTTCCGGGACATATCATAGAGCTTGCTTCTTTCATTCTCATTTCGTTTCTAGTCGTCGAATATTTTAGGGATGATCAAATCATATGATGTGCGATGCCATCGAGTTCACTTTCACTTTCGAAAATATGAATCCGTCTCTTCTCTCGTGACTATTGGTTATTTAACCCATAGTCAGGAGGGAAGAGACGAGGGTGACAAGTCAAAAGCAACACGGAATTCAAAAATCAATTGAGCATGGTGGGGAGGTAGTAACTCCATCCTGTAAAACTTACTTGATACGAACCCCCCACCAAAAAAAAAAATACCACCTGATCTGGTAAGGCTGCGATCCTATACTCTACAAGTCATACCGAGCACCAAATATATAAATAAAAGTATCCTATCTCATTAATTTCTTTTATCGGTCCTTTTGTTGAGTTAAACTTTTCCAATCCGTGAGGATAGTTTACATGTTCATTATACTACGAACAAATTCCATTCATGTCCAATTCACTCATAACTATTAACAATCTTTGGATAAAATAGTAGGGAAATTCCGGCTATCAGCCTTGGTTAGCTGCCAGTCTAGGAAAAGGTCAACTCTGAATTCAAAATTGGGGGTAAGGTAATTACAAATTGCTTGACTCAGGAAAACCATCGTACTGCACTGTTTACATATATTAATAGAAAAAGGAAGCTATGTCGAATTATTATCCTCTACATGCTGAAAGGACATAGTGCCGAAAAAGGAGGAGGAGGAGGAAGAGATGAAAGAGAAGGATCAGTAGGAGGAGGATTTTATAAGCATTTGTCTTTTAGTAATTAAGATATTAACCACCACCAACATTTACGGTATATAATCTTTTTAGCCTTTTCTTTAAGGCACGGTGGAGTAATGGATAGCGGCTCGGATTGAAAATCGGAGAGCCGAGTTCGAATTCTAATCGAATCAATTGCATTCACTTACGTGCTAATTCCCTTGAGAAAGGTATAAATCCTCTTCTTCTCCCTCCAGCTATGGGTAAATAGGACATACCGGGTTCTGTAGCCTTGGATGGCAACTGGTCTACGGCAGAAAGAAATGGCAACCTACTGCGGGAAACATCTGCTTCGTCAGTCATGTATTGAAAGATACATGATTGCCTAAGCGTGTATCACGCATGGCACATAACTGACTGATATTCACTTACGTGCTAATTCCCTTGAGGAAGGTATAAATCCTCTTCTTCTCCCTCCAGCTATGGGTAAATAGCAGAACAGACCGCGTTCTATAGCCTAGGATGGCAACTAGTCTACCGCAGAAAGAAATGACAACCTAATGCGGAAAAAATTTTCTTCGTCAGTCATGTATCGAAAGATACATGATTGCCTAAGCGTGTGTTACGCATGGCATATAACTGATTAACCGAGAAAAAAACTTTTTTTTCCCCAGTGAAGAATAATTAAGACATTTTTCATTTAATTTTACTTATTTGTACGTTTAAGGGACTTTAATGGAACGGCAACTCGATATTAACCGAGCTTATTTATCACAACACCAGAATACTGAGTTAGAGATCGAACTCATTTCAACAACGATCTGGTCTTTGATACGTTTTAAACATTTCGCTGTCATATGCACATTTGATATTTTGTAAAATTGGTTTAGTCTGGCAAAAGGCTACAACTATGAAGCACTCAGTGCTGATCGAATTCATTATACATTTAAAATAGTTTGTTAGACGAGCATCTTAACCATCACGGCGTAGTGAGATACCCGGATGGATGCGTGTTGTTCTAAGCCAAAAACGGCACAAGGCTACAGTCATGATGCGAATGGTGTGCTAAAAACTACTCTTGATATGTGCTATCTTCCTTTCTTCTTCTTCCTCTCCTTCTTTGTACGTACGTATGTTTGGGTGGGTAGGTATTCGTTCTCGCATGCGCATGTGTCTGTGTGTTTGAAAACTGCTCTGTTATATCATGAAATATAAATATGGTGATATGATATAGGAATATAAAAACGAATGAAAGTTTTAGGAAGAAAATTAAAACGTATATTATCCAAAGAAAATAACGAATACCGTATATACTCGTGTATAAGCCGACTTCATTTATAGTGCGGCCCCTAAATACCTTTGCATGAATTTTAACCCCCTCCAGAAAAAAATTACCTGTCGATATTGCAACCGATAACCGAAAATGCATGATTTTCACCCACTTCAAAAATATTACTTGTGTATAGTACGACCTCGTATTTATTGTGTAAAAAAAAACTGATCATAAAAACTCGACCTATACACGCGTATATACAGTACTGATAATTAAAATTATAATTAATTATTATATGTGTTTAGGTAAGTATGTGTTTTTTTTTTTTTTTTTTGGCGGGGGTTGTAATCATCTCACACTAAGCAATGTGATAGTCACTAAAAAGCAAATCCGTTACTGAGTGTGAAAGTGAATGAGAAGACTTTAGGATAAAGAACCGGAAATCCAATTTTAAACAGGAAACAAAAGATAAAATTCTACTCCTGTTCAAAAGACGAGAAAGGAGTACAAACAGGGCAATAGGCGGACCTATTTAATCTATTAAATTTTTAATTAACATGTTTAGCTAATATCTTTTTTTTAATATAATTTTTCTTTAATTATTATCTCAGCCAGAAAAAGATATGTTATAGAAACTTACTTTTTGATAAATCGAACCGAATTGTGAATTGTTATAAATGATTAAATAATTATCGCAGATGAGCTCTAAAGTGTTTACATTTAGTCATTGTAAATCAACTGTCAAATATAAATCATTCTCGCCATATTTTATTAAATATATAATTTCATTCGGTATTAAATGTGTCTGATAGCTGAAGTGGTTGCATTCTAAACAATCGTTGTCATCATCAGCTTTCCCAATGCTGTTCGTTGCTAGCAAGCACGTTCTTTATGCTCTGTTTCCACCGGGCCTTATTGACTGCCATGTCTTTCAGTATTGTCTGCTAAATGAAAGGGCCCTTTTCTTTCACATGCCAGCCAAACAAAGGTCGAGGCCAATGGCGGCAACGGAACATCAGTTCTTTTGTCACGTCTTCTTCTTTCAAGCCATCAAGCTAAATCCTTGCCGTCATCTCAATGATAGCTTTGGCCGGCCCATAAAATTCAGGCAAGAAAGCCTCTTTTACGTCTGTAGAACATGTCCCAGTCATTTGTCGTCTTTCGATGACTACACGAGATGGAGGAGGCGGCTTTCCTAAAAAAAAAAATATAGTACCACCGAATTCTTTTGTTTAGTATCTTGGCCTACCAATTGGTCCAAAAACTATGTCACATACACTAGTGTCATCTGCTTAACGTAGTGACCATATCTTACCCCCATAAGGACTTCCCATTAGGACATAGATAGACAGATAGGTAGATATGGGATAGATAGATAGTCTGTTCATATCTATCTATCTATCTCAGTCTGTTCATATCTATCTATCTATCTATCTCAGTCTGTTCATATCTATCTATCTATCTATCTCAGTCTGTTCATATCTATCTATCTATCTATCTCAGTCTGTTCATATCTATCTATCTATCTATCTCAGTCTGTTCATATCTATTCATCTATCTATCTCAGTCTGTTCATATCTATCTATATCTATCTATCTATCTATCTCAGTCTGTTCATTCATCTATCTATCTATCTCAGTCTGTTCATATCTATCTATCTATCTATCTCAGTCTGTTCATATCTATCTATCTATCTATCTATCTGTTCATATCTATCTATCTATCTATCTCAGTCTGTTCATATCCATCTATCTATCTATATCTCAGTCTGTTCATCATCCATCTATCTATCTATCTATCTCAGTCTGTTCACTATCTCAGTCTGTTCATATCTATCTATCTATCTCAGTCTGTTCATATTCATATCTATCTATCTCATCTCATCTATCTATCTATCAGTCTGTTCATATCTATTCATCTATCTATCTCCATCTCAGTCTGTTCATCTATCATCTCATCTCTGTTCATATCTATCTATCTATCTATCAGTCTGTTCATATCTATCTATCTATCTATCTCAGTCTGTTCATCCATCTATCTATCTCAGTCTGTTCATATCTATCCTCTACATCCATTCAGTCTCATATCTATCTATCTATCTATCTCAGTCTGTTCATATCTATCTATCTATCTATCTCAGTCTGTTCACATCTATATCTATCTATCTGAGATAGATAGATATCTATCTATCTCCAGTCTGTTCATTATCTATCTGATCTCAGTCTATTTCCGTCTATCTATCTATCTGAGATAGATAGATAGATATGAAACAGACTGAGATAGATAGATAGATATGAGCAGCCTGAGATATGAACAGACTGAGATAGATAGATAGATATGAACAGACTGAGATAGATAGATAGATAATGAGCAGCCTGAGATAGATAGATAGATAGATAAATAATTTTTTCAGTCCAGTATTAGCGCCTCAGATTGAGGAATCAGAGATCAGAGTTCGAATTCCAGTCGAATCTATTACATTCACTTACGTGCTAATACCCTTAGGAAAGGTATGAATCCTCTTCTTCTCCCCCCAGCTATGTGTAAATAGCAGGACAGACCGGGTTCTATAGCCTTGGATGGCAACTGGTCTACTGCGGGAAAAATCTGCCTCGTCAGTCATGTATCGAAAGATACATGATTGCCTAAGCGCGTATCACGCACGACACATAACTGATTGATCTCTTTCTAGCATTTATAAGCGTTTCTTTACTAACTTTTTATTATTAGTAGTGTGGAGTGTCGACATCTTGATTATATCATTATTTTCTCGAGTTACATAGATATACATGAACAGAATGACATAAATGTCCACTTACAATCGACTAAGTGCTAATTTCAGTTGGTAGCTTTTGTAAACACCGGAAACATATAGCTATAACAAGAAGGTGGCTAAAATGATAAAATAAATTAATTCTATAAAGACCAGCCTATAAATATGTTATTTAGTGATAATTTTATTAGAATATTCAGTAGTTTATATTCACTGTTGGATTTTATTATGCATGTCATTATTAAGCGAGTTTACTAATCTATTAAAATTTAGCTTTATACTTCATCATAAATAAGTTTATTAAAGTTCATCATAAAACTTCTTCAGATTTTTTTTATTAAACTTTATAAAATGTTTTTTATACGTTAAACTTCACTATAAAACAATTAAGATGTTAGGTTGAGTCATATATAAATTCTTTTTTGTTTATCAACTTTCTTTCTTAAAAAAAAGTATATTTACGTTTTATACAATTCTATATCATGCATTACTTGCAATGTCCTTGTCGTCACCTTTCAGGGAGGTTTTCTATGTCTTTTGAGTAAAAGAAATCTGCAGGTTTTGATGCAAACAAGTTTTCAGCACATGTTGATGGGAGTTCTTTTTTTGTTTTTTTTTTCCTAATCGTTTTATTTGAAGTAGTGTGGAATTGATTATGTCATTATTTTCTATTTGAATTACATGTGCTATCTGTTTAAGCTATTGCTACTGTTGGTAATCCACAAGTGATATGGTTTCTGTTATTTGGTACAGTTTTTTTTCTATACGTTTTGAGTAAAATTCTACAGATTTTGATTCAAACAAGTTTTCAGCACATGCTTGAATCTGATTCTCCTTAGAGAAAGTTTCTTTATCTAAGCATTTTGTAGCGATCGAAAAAGTTAATAGTTTCCTATTGACACGCTCAGGGCGCTTTTCAATAAAACTTTTATTGACACGTTGCAACTGCTGGACGTATAAATGCGCATTTAATATTTCATTGCGTTTTAAGAACATTAAATGAATAATACTATCACTATTCCACCAAGTTATTTTCAAGCAACATTACAAAACAATTATGAAACTTCATTGTGAAGGGTCAAGTGAATATGGCGGGCGGAAGTATAACAGAACAACCGAGTTCTAGTATTTATTTCTGTTGTTGTTGTTTTATTCGACCCTGTGTTGTTATGGAGTATAATAACGTTTTCCTATTGATGCGCGCAGGGCGCTTTTCGACAGCACACAAATAAATTCAAAATTGTTTTTAAAATACTGGTGGCCACTGAATTGTAGTAAGATTTTCCATTTATGATTAGCAAATATAGTTTTTTTACTTAATAACAATATCATCTAACCAGTAAAAATTAATACAGAAATTTAAGATTTAAAACTTTACAAATTGTTCTAATTCAAATGAAAAATTCTTGTAAAATTTCATTATTCATCGAAAAAATATTTTTCTTAAGACAATAGTGTCCATAATCCTATTCATAAAAGCAATCAAATTTGTTTTACGATTCAGAGCAGATTTTCTGTAACTGGGGGTCCAGATTTACAACAAAAAAAAAATGATGATTTAAATTCACCAAAAAGTAGTTCGAAGAGTCAGATTAACTATCAGTCTATCTCTTTTTGGCAAAGTACGAGAGGCCCTAATCAACTATGAGTTGGTTAAGCATCTCACATCGCAGGATCTTCTTTCAGACAAGCAATATGGCTTTCGCTTCTCTATGCCAACTGCTGATGTACTAACGATTATCGATTAAAGAGCCTATCAAGCTTTAGATAAGACTCGAGAAGCTAAGATTGTTAATCTGGAAATCTCGAAGGCGTTTGACAGTGTTTGGTATATCGGTTTTCTTCATAAGTTGAAAGGCTATGGTATTTCTGGACGAATTTTTTGAACTGATTCAGTTTAAATATCAAATATTGATATCAAAAAGTGAAATGAACGTCGTCCTTTACGGCAACTCTTCTAGATCTTTTTGTACTAATGCAGGTGTTCTTTAGGGCTCTCTTACTCTGTTCTTAATTTTTATCAATGACCTTCCTGATGACATCATTTCTCAACTTGATATCTATACTTATGACACAACCATTTTCTCTTGTCTTGACAGTCTGATCAGTTCGATAAGATCAAATTGGCAACTGATCTAAAAAAAAAAATAACCTACAGTCTGTTAACTGGGGTAAGGAATGGCTTCTTGATTTTGAACGCCTTCTCTCTATCAATCACCTGAAAGACCTCTTCCTGTCTCTCAATAGCACGACTGATACTAACCTCCATGAGAACGACTCATTTCGCATTCTCAGCTGACATGATGTAGAAAAAATATGTTGAATTCATTGTTAGTTCTCCTGCTAAGAAAGTACGTTCCCTGTGTCATGCTAGAAAAATTTTTCTCATGTGTTGTAACCTAGGGAATAGAATAATCAAACGAAGGTTGTTAATGAACGATAATACTTGGGACACGAACAACACATATAAGATTCGCCAGCGGCGCGTAAAAGTAGTAGTCAACTGAACTGAGTCAAGATAATTCTTCAATGAATCTCCAACTTCAGGATAACTACCACTCGCCCCACGCGGTCAGATGTGGCACAAGGCCGAATTTAATGTGGGGTATCAGAGCCTGTAGGCTCGTCCAAGACATTCCCTGTATACCTCATATAAAACGGTGCCGTGTAGCTGTTTCCCGAGACGAAATTCTGCCTTTCAACATAGCCTCGTTTGGGGATCCTCTATACCCGGAGGTGGAGAGTTTGACCAGGACAGCTGGAGACGAATCTCCAACTGCAGGTTAACTACCACCCGCCCCACGCGGTCAGACGTGGCACAAGGCTGAATTTAATGTGGGGTGCCCGAGCCTATAGGCTCGGCCAAAACATTCTCCGTAGACCAGCGTATAAAACGGGGTCGGGTAGCTGTTTCCCCGAGACGAGACTCTGCCCTTCGACATAACCTCGTCTGGGGATCCTCTCTACCCGGAGACAGAGAGTTTGACCAGCACAGCTGGAGACAAATATCCAATTGTAGACCAACATACAGCATTTACTACTGTATTTATTTGAATGGGAACATACACATTATCGCCAGTAGGTATGCTATATCCCGAATCTCTCTCTCTCCCATATTTATAAGTCTACTATTCGTCAATACCTTGAATATTGCTAACACATGGTTTGGTGCCTCTTTTGTATATGTAGATATTCTTCATAACAACCAAACAAGAATCGGCAATATTATTGGTCCTAACCTATGGTCTTCAGTTACTTTCCTGTGACTTAACTATAAATGCTTTCATGGTAACTCTTCGGATAAACTCTTCGCTATGGTACCTAGACTTTATGAACTTAACCATAGTACTATATTGATCTCATTAATTCATAGTTGAATTGACTAGATGTAACCGTAAGTTCTATGTTAACAGTTTCTTCTCTCGCATTTATCCTCTTGTGGAACTCTCTTCCAGCTCCATACTTTCCAGTAAATTTTAATCTTCAAAAATGTAAATGCAATGTCAATCAAGATGTACTGACTTCTTCATTACTCTTCTATTGTTCTCGCTTCTTAATAATGTTTCTCTTTTTTCTTATTATTTCACGCTCACTAATCGCTTATGTCTTAGTCGCCTTACTGCTTTGCATGGGGTGATATAATTTTTTTTTTAATTCTGCGTTTAACTACTATAGACACTAAGTGGTACAAAAATCAATTTCTCGAAATTTGATAAAATTAATTACCCATGTATAATACGCATTTATTTTTATATTAAGCAAAATTGGGGGCGGGGTATTATGCACAGCTACAAAAAAATCTTTAAAAAATTGCCGTAAAATAAAATAAGAATTAACATAAAACTAAATTAGAATAATATTATTCTATATTTAAGACCATTTTTTAAAATAAGAGTAGGAAATGCTGGCCATAATGAAATTGGAGAAATACAATTTATGGGTTTGATTTTCAAACAAAGGGTGAGTATTATGCATGAGTAGAAGCATTTTCCCACACTTTCAGCACAATTGTAGGCATGCGTATTATGGATGAAGGCATATTCCACATGGGGAATTACTGTAAATGGGGGTAATAGACGTAAAAATGTTTTTACCAAGATTTTCTGAAAAGGAAACATTTCTAAAATAATGTCGTTCATTTGTGAATAAATCCTGAAAGTTTCACTAAAATCCGACAATTATTTTATTTTTGCAAGAATTTCCAAATCAATGATTTTCACCGCAAAAAAGCCACTAAAATTTCCTATACTAATCTTTGACGTAAGAAAAATAAAAGATTTTAACCAAATTTTCTAAAAGTTCTAAAAAGAACAAAAAATATTTAATAATCAAAAAATCCTTTCGCCTTTCCTCTGAATAATAACAAAAAGATTTTGACGATAAATCTTTGTTTTTA